TTGAGTCAATGAGACTTCATAGAATTTAGATATTTTCAATATGAGTATTGTTATCAGGTACATTTTCCGAAGACCCTATTTTGACCAAATTTTTTTTTCAGAATTTATATTGCTCTCCAGATCAAATCTAAATGTGTCAGATTTTCAAGACCCTTCATAATATGTGTAAATCCTAACTAAATTTATTCCATATTCATTAATGTCATGATCTTTGTGTTTAGCTTAATTCAGTAAACATTTATTAAAATATTACTGTTATCTTCATTCTCATCTTTATTTCTATGTCTTTGCAATATTACCCTTCTAGCTTGGATAGCTAAAAATAATCTTTATTCATTATTTAAGGCTTATCCATGAAGACCTGGTAGTCTTTTGCATTCTACTGTGTACCTACTACTAACAACCAGATGTATATATGTAGCATTTTTTTCTTTCTCTGAATTACTATTATAGTTTATTAGTTAAAATCTGATTATGTACTCTCCTGATTGTCCTTACATTGTGTCATCAATATGAATTTATCAGAAATTAATTTTTAGTATTTATATTATTTTCATTCAGTGTGACTTCCAGTGTCAGGGTCACTTTAGGAAAATTTACTGCTGTAAGAGAAATAAGTGAAAACAAATGTCTGTGAGTCAGGTTTTCTCAAACTACTGAAAGGTGCCAAATTTCATTCAAATCCTGAAAAATGACCTGGACTGTCTTTCTAAAAATTTCTAAGTCTCATGTTACTGATGAATGCATTTATTTTTTACTTTTTCAATTTATGAAGCAAGAATGAAACAAGAATTAATGAAGCAAGTGAAGAACTTAAATGGTATCTAAAGTCAGGGTAGTTTAATGGATAATATAACTAGTATCTGTATTGCCTTAGGAATCAGTTGATGTATCTTTTGAAAAACCCTATGCTAATCAGATAGGTGATTTTTCTTTCATTGCATGTAGTCATTGTGGTCATTTCTGCAACACAGTATGATTTAGTTAACTTACTGGAAATGTAATACCTTCAAATAAGGCATACCTCATTGCTAATTGTTATTCTTTTCCAAGAATGTAACCCACCATAAGAAAAGAGGTACATTTTATTTACCTTTCTTGACGCAGCTGAAATATTTCTGTAGACTTCATATAATTTTTCATTATACCTAGTGAGGGCTCAGGAAACCAAAATTCCTGATAAGCTACCTGACTCTGTTGACATCAGATAAGCCTTTCAAAGGAGTGTCATGTAATCTTTTGGATCCTGATTTAGTGTATTATCTGTCATGCAAGAGATCTTATTTGTTCTACTTTTGCTACACTAGAATCAGCCATGGGCTGAGTCACTTCAATTACTTTTTGCAAACAAAAACCTTTATTTGTCCTGATGTTTTTGTTCGTTTCCAAAGTCTCAAGTAATTTGGTACATGAGACTCTCTGGCAAATTAAAACTAAATTCTCTAGATATGTTGATTAATTTCTTAAAGAATACCATGCTGTATAATAATGTCTTTTTCTTTAAAACAAAATAGTTAATGTTTCTTTATATAAAAAAAAATTCTTGTTAAAAAAAATAGTGCTAGACTGCTCCAGAAGTATATATTTAGAAGTTATGCATAAAATAAGTTTATAATATGGAAATTTTCTTTATCTTAATGTCCTCCTAGTTCATTAATTGATAACTGTGGATGTGATTTGATGGTTTTTCACATATTGTTTTATAAAGGATATGCACAAGGCATGGGTGGGGTTGTTATCACTCCCTTCTCCCTTCTGGGACCTCATACCATTTTTAAATAAGAAAAGAATCCTGCAGGGCCACCAGAAAAAGTTCTTGAAGGTGTACTTTCTAGAAGAAAGTCTGATTGAACTATGTTTCACATAGAGTTTGAAGAATGTCATCAACTTGTATGATTTAAGATGGCTCAGTAATACATTTGAATATCTTATTGGAGTAAATAATGAATTTGTATATTGTTTTTGACTTTTTTTGTCTTCTTAGATATTCACAATGTATCCATTACATTATTCTCGCTGTTGTTGCCATGTGTCTATCTGCACATCATTCCGTTCCCTCTTGTTTCTGCACAGTTTTTGTCCTGTTGGTCTCTGTCACTCTTTACAACACTCGTCCTATCTCACTTCTTGGCCATTTCAAGACACATGTAAGAGAGCCTTCTAAAGACCAGTTCTTTGCCCTTCTCTCCTGCTGTTATTGTTCTTACATATGCTTCAGCCACTGACTTCTAATCACAGCCTTGATAGTATTGCTGCAGCTCCTGTATATCCTAGTTCATGTATCCATCCCCATGTGGCTACCACTTCTACTATAGTTCTGGTTCACCCCTTCTGGTACTTACTAGTATCCAACACTCCTTTATTTAATTCTTTTGTCACAACTTTATTCTGTGGAAGATCTCAAAAGTAGAGAGAACCACATGCAGAACCCTCAATACCATCAACCAGCTTCAATACTCATCAATTCACGTGCCAATTTCATTCCATCTATTATAATGTGAAGTAAATACAAAGCTATATTATCATTTCATATGTTCCTTCTCAGTTGAAGACCTTGCCTCCCAGCTCACTGAGAAAATGGATGCACTTAGAAGTTAGCTTCCATACCACCAGTATCACACTTGCTCAGACACCAGCGACTGCATCCATCTAGCTTGATATTATAGATGATATTTTATTGGTTTTTATTCCATGTGCTCTAATTTCTTTTGCACTAGATCCTATCTTTTATTGCTTACTCAAAGACATTGCTCTGTCTGAGAAATTCAGTTTCCCCACCCCACCTTTCACCATCTCTTGCATCGTTAATTTTCATGTTTTACTGGACTATTTCATGAGCACACAGACATCTTCTACTTCCCTCATCTTAAAACAAAACAAATACCACTCCCTTGTCCCAGCTTTACCCATAGCTACCTCTCCATTTCTCTGCTTCTTATTGCAGCCAGATTACTCAAAAGGAGTTGACTATACGTGCTGTTGCCAGTATCTATCCTCTAATTTCTTCTTAAACCCCTTCCAATGAGACGTTTGCTCTTACCACTCCACTGAAATTACACTGGTGGAAGTCATCAGCAACCTGTATATTCCTAAACCCAGTCATTCCTGACCCTTGTGTTACGTGACGTAGCAGTAAGACTTGACACTCAAGCACATTGTTCTTCTTAATATACTGTCTTAACTGGGCTTTCAGGATGCCACTTTCTCTGAGTTTCCTCATCTCCTTTGCTGGTACCTCCTCTTGTCCCAAGGCTTCGTCCTTGGTCTTCTTTTCTATTTATCCAGTCTCCATGGTGACTTGGATTTAATTGTCATCGCTATGAAACCGATACCCAAATGACGTCTTTGGCCTAGATTTCTCTATTTAGCATTCCACTTGGATATCTGCGCTCATAACTTGCATTTTAAATTTTATACCTAAAATGTGGTGCAGCTGCATTCTTCCTTGTCTCAGTGGATGACAACTGGGTCCTTCAGGTTGGTGAGGTCAACATTTTAGAGTCATCCTCTTTTTCTCCCTTTTCTCTCACATTTTCTCTGATATTCAATCCATCCAGAAGTCCTTTTGGCTCAAAGATATCCAGTATCTGACCATTTCTCTTTGTCACTGATGGTGAGGAAGAGCAGGGCCAGCGACTGTCCCCTGCCACTTGAATAGCTCCCATAGTTCTAACTGGCCTCCCTGTCTGTACCCTATCTCCTATCTTAAGTCTGCTCTTAACACAGCAGCCAGAGCAGTCCATTCCCAACATAAATTAGATCCTGTTATTACCTCAATTTAAAAGCCTCAAATAGCTTACATTCTTACTCAGAAAGAAAACGCTGAAGGCTTTATAGTGCCTTCAAGGCACTGTGAATACTCTCTCCCCTTCTCATTTCATTTCACTGTTTCCTTGTTGCTTGAGTATCCCAGGCATGCTCCTTACATAGGGCCCTTTCAGCTGCTGGTTGCATCTGCCCTGAGCACAATTCCTCAAAATACCCACTTTGATGACTTCCTCAATTCCTATTATGTCTTTCTCAAATGGCATGTTCTGAAAGACTCTCACCCTAAAAACCCAAACCCCTCCTTGATCTCTAACCCATGATCCCCCTTCTCCTGCTCTATTTTTTTCCCAACAAACTTATCCTCTTAGAGCTTATCACATAATTTATCTATTTATTTCTTACAGTTTCTTCTCCCACTAGAATGTAAGCTTCACAAAGGCCAGGGATTTTATCCTTCTTATCTGGCACATAGTAGGTGATCAATCAAATGTCTCCCTCTTTTCAACATTATTTCACTTCCATTGTTTCTCAGAGTCAATAATCATTCCAGTTAACAACAGTTAACTTGGACCTCTCCATTTTAGAGGCCTGTTCTTTAGGATATTTCTCTGTGTGTTTACCTTCTTAATCATAATGCCTTTCTTTTCCATTTTTTTTTTCTTTTGCTTACTCTGTTTGTTAAGAAAATTTTAGGCAAATGTATTTATTTTCTGGTCTCCAAGTCTTCTTATAGCCTTTCTCATATTTGGCACTTTCTTAGCCATATTTTTATTTCTAGAAGATTCTTTTTTTTCTGTCCTATCTTCCTAACACTTTTGTTCTTAACGCTAGTTCATCAAATCTTCCTTTTTCCCAGAAATGTTTCCTATAAAAAATTGTAGAATGCATTTCCACCTTCCTAATATGTGTCCCCTCCATCTACCCTAAAGGTACCCCTGCTATCCATGATTCTCATTCACCCCTCATTCAACATCCTACTGAAATACGGATTCCTTTTGACTTCAAGCTAGTACCCGATTATTAGTATTACAAGTCTGTATATAGCCATTTGTTTATTTTCAATATAATTTTTATCTTCTATTTTAGAAAACTGCACAAATATTTGTGTATACATTTATAAGTGTTATGTATTTAATTATTTCCTATTTTATCCTATTCTTACCGAGAGCAAGCAATTACTCAGTCTTTCCTTATTGAGTCTCTAACTTGTTCCATATTCTTATCTTTAACAGGTCATTGCTTTAGTGATGGACATATTCACAGATGTGGATATTTTCAAAGAAATGGTGGAGGCATCAACGCGTGGGATATCTGTATACATTCTGCTTGATGAGTTCAACTTTAATCATTTCCTAAAGATGACCGAGAAACAGGGCTGTCAAATTCAGCGTCTCAGGGTAAGAATTCTATATGTGTGTGTTTGTGTTTTTTCCAAAAATGTTGTGTGCCTTTTTTAGCTCAGTTGAATTTAAAGCATGTCAAGCAATATTACTCCAAAAATAAATCCTAAGTATGTGTGTGTTTATATATAAGGTGGTTTGATAATTTATCACAGAAGGGTCCCCTTGTACTTTTTGGAATGCGACTGAAAACACGTCTTTGTGATGATCTTGTATGGTACTTTTCTTGTTTCTCTTAAGCTTCTGAGTTAACTTTGCTGCCAGTCATAATTAATGCTTCCGATTTGCATGCACCATCTTGAAACCACTGACTCAGGTGATTCTCCCATTGAGCAGATGTTGCTTATCACAATCATTTGACATAGTGTTTTCAGATACATTCAGCTTTTTCAAAGGAAGGCGGATTTTAATTTTAGTTATTTTGGCATCATGCTACTATACCTCAAGAGGATCTTTTACTTTGGGACACTAAGTGATTTATGAAACCATTCTGTGTAAATGTAAAGTAATATCTCCTATTTAAGTTATGTTAAAATACGTATTTTAAGTAAATATTTTCTTTAAGTATTTCCCTTTTAAGTGATGTTGTAAAATGTCACTGCTTTTTGTTTTGTGTTTTAAGAAAATCACTTCAAGTATACTTTTTTAGTAGTAAGGTTTTATATTGACATCAATTCATATATTTTACTTTTCAAAATACTCCCTTTCTAGTCATCATTTTTACTATGTATGTATATGTTATTCTAGAATATTCGAGTGCGAACAGTAAAAGGCCAAGATTATCTTTCAAAAACAGGAGCAAAATTTCATGGAAAACTAGAACAAAAATTTTTATTAATTGACTGCCAGAAAGTTATGTATGGATCCTACAGGTAAGATCATTTTCAACCATTTATAGAATTTATTAGTTTCAAATTTTAATGTAATCTGTTTAGTTATTTCCTAAAAATAAAAAAAGAACCCTTGTATAGAAGCTTGGAGACTTGGTTGCAGTTCTGGGTGCCTCTAAAGAGCATGAAGACATTGGGCAAGTCACATGACTTCCGTAGGTTTCAAGTTCTTCATCCCCAGTACGAGGGGACTGATTAATATCCCAGGTTCCCTTCAGTTCCATGGTGCACAAAGTGTTTTTTGCTTCTTATGAAAACAGTACATAGTATGAACTTAATAATTGTTTGTAAAAGTAGAAGCTGTTTATCACTTTGAAGAAGGCTGTCAAATAGATTTTTCTTATTATCACTTTGAAGAAGGCTGTCAAATAGATTTTTGTTATTTGAGTATTATTAAGAATCTGATAATTATCATGTAGTTGCTATAGTACTGCCAAAAAAGCATGTTAAAAAGTCCAGCTATTTACAATGCCGTAGTTGACACTAGACAAGTTTACTCAGCCCCAGATGCTACTCTGATACCTTCTGAGGCAACTGCTAGTGGAATATGTACTGTGTTCTAGCCTGGCTATTTTACATATTTCATCACCAATCCCTACAATTCAGCTGCAAGGCAGCTGTTTTCATCTATATTTTATAAATGATATACTGAATTTCCAGAAGATGAAACAAGTTGTGTAAAACCCCACAGTTAAGGGTCAGAGGCAGCCCAGGACTGGCTGGCTCCAGAGTGGAAGTGCTGTGCCATATACTCTCTTATAAATTCTGGGCATCAGTCCTGAACAGGATACACAGTAAGGCAATAGCAACGGGCACATACCAACACCAGCAAGTAACATGTGCACTGCTAGGTCACCTGGGCAGAGGAGACTCATTACTAAACGCTGCAGGAAGAAGCCAGGAGAGCTGCAGATGTAAGCACAGTGTGAGGGGAAACTTTTTGCCCTTATCTTAAGATCTTAAAAAGTCCACGAGAAGACCGTGGGAGGGATAGGCAGGGAGGAGCAAGTTACTTAACGTGTTGGCCCTTTAGTTTGCTCCTCTGTACAATGAGGATAATCATAGAACCTACCTCATGTTGTTGTGAGGATTAAATGAGTTAATGCATCCAAAGCCCATAATTTAGCTAGTATTTTAGGCCTAGTATTTTAGTTTTAACTGTTATTATCTGCTAACTTTCTCCTTAAGCTCAGGGACTATTTTTGGAAAATGCTATTTGGAGTTCCAAAGGAAAGCTTGTTAAGATCAGAAATTACAACTAGTGCTTGAAACTAATGAGTCCTTTTGAAGAGTAATTATATATGCTTATTTAGTCCACTTCTTTTTAGAGGGTTTTTAATTGAAATTTTAATTAAAATTGGTAGTTTATTTGATGTATATAGAATGCTATTTATTAGTTACTCTCATCATAATGAATACTTTCTATTTTTATTATTTAACTTGGCTCTTAAGGTTATCCTCAACAATAAATTTACCTCAACTTTGTTTTGCTACCAATAGGTATTAATAGGTGCTCTCTGTTGAGATGACTAGAGCTGAGTTACTTCAGAATTGATATTGGAAAAAACAAACAACTACAAAAACTCTATCTCATAAGCCAGGGGCAGAATTTACATTACTATTTATGGAATACTAGGATCACAGATTATAAAAATTCATCAAAACTCTTTATCTAACAACTCTACCCTTTATTATTTCATGTTGGTTTTAAATTTATTTAAAAAATTAATGGTTGTTAGCTCTTGTCCTTTTTTTTTTCTGACTGATCATTATGGACCTTTCCTAACAGGATCTAATGGAATAGGTATGAACCTGTCGTCATAGAAACTGGTTAAAATTGACTTCCTTTTGGTTAAAAACAGGCTTCATCTCTTATAATTTTCCTCATAGGCAAATTCAGAATATCTTCTTTAGTTCAAAATTCTTTGCCATAAAATGCCCCCATATTCCAAGCTCTCGCAGGTTCTCGAGAGGCTTGGTGTCTGTACTCACCGCAGTCACACATTGGGTGGCAGCTCAGTCGTCATGATGACAGTTTTACCAGGAAAAGACAGACAACAGGTGTTTTGCCTTATCGTGATACCAACATTGATGAGGTGAAACATTTAGATACTTTTTATCAATGTATGTAGATAAAATTTCAAATTGGATACCTTCCAAATTTGAAATTGTCATATGAAAAATCTAGTAAAGTTTTGTCCACAAATTTGACTGAGAGACAGTTTTACAAGCTTTTTAAAAATCTTATGATCTCTATAAAAGTTACTTTCAAAAGACAAATGTCACTGTAGGCTCCAACGTGCCGTTTTTTGACCAGATCGCCACATGTGGAGATCCGCCCAGTGCCCTTTACTACTTTCATCCCATGGACTTCACTTTATAACCCCTAGCCAGGAACTCGAGAGTTTTTGAGCCACTCTTTAATATGTGAATTCATAACCACCTTCCAACTCAATGACTGCTATTTGACAGGGAATTTGGAATGGGTGAGAGTAGCAAGGTAATTTTATTTCTTATCTAAGTAAATGCATGTGCGTATTTTTAAAAATTCAAATATTACTAAAAGAGATGCAATACAAAACAGTAGTTTTTGTTCTCCATCTCTATCCATTTTGGCTTCCTGACCTCCAGATGCAAGTATTTAATTCTTTTAGCTAGCTCTTCTGATACCCACTTCATTCTCTTAAATAATGTGATTATACTGCTGTTTCTCAACTTATAACTGCTTGCTATTGTCTCAACTTTATATTATGATAATTAAAGAATTATATTTCCTGCCCACCCATATCCACTTGCCTTTCTGGTCTCCATTCACCCAATATATCTTTATCAAAATTTTTTGATTTAATGAGAAGTCTGGGTTTGCATTACTGAAAGTGTCAGAATGGATCACTGATGAGCCATCAAGCAATTTATAATGTTTCCTTTTCATAACAAAGTTAATAATGACCCTTTTGTCTTGATTTTATTGTCTTTGTTTTCTATTATCTAATGCCACTTTTTTTCTAGTTCACTGCAGATTTCTTAGCACATGAACAACTTTTCCAAATGTTCATTTATTTTCTACCAGCAATCTGTGATGTCCAATCTGGACTGGTAGGGTCTGTAACCTGCAGCACAGCGGGGATTCTGGCATTTCCCCTATTTCTGGGTAGCTTAAGCCACAATTTCTTGAGTCCCATTTTTAATCTCATTTTTTTTCTCCTCATTTTTGATTTTACATCAGATATTTTCTCCCAAGTGTGCTCAGGAACATTTCCATTAGGATTTTTAAAGTCCAAACATTCATAATTTTAAGTGATTTATGGTTTAACTGGGGATGAACTCCATCACTTTTCCTCTGAATTTGAAGGTGGTGTCCTGTAGCCAGAACTGATGTGGACAAGTCTCAAATGCTTGTTATTCCCATTCTTTCCATGTAACTTTTTAAAAAAATTTCCCTTTCATTCCGTGCTATTCTCAAATTTATTATCATGTTTCTAGGTTTAGGCCTTGTTAAATTTGTTGTTCTGCGCAATCCAAATACCCATAGCTTTCAATTATGGGATGTTTTCTTATTCTTCGAAAGATTTCCTCTTCTCATTTTTCTGTTGTCTGGAATTCTTACTAACTAGATTTTTGCTCTCATTATGTTTTATTTTCTCTGATTCTCCATCCAGGGATGGGGAGTATTATTCTGCCTGGGGGATTCTCTCAATTATATCTTCCAAACCTTGTATTATAATTTTCTTTTTAAATGTAGCCATCAAATATTTTGAATATATGCTACTTATACCACTTTTATAGCATCCTGTTTTTGTTTTATAAATGCATTATTTCCTCTATTTCCTTGAGGATGTTACTTGTAGTTTTTCTCTGTGTGTGTATGTGTGTGTAGTTTCATACATATTCGTATGTGCTTTTTCTCTATTTCCTCCAGGTACCTGTTTCCTGTTTTTTGTTTTGTTTTGTTCTCTGTTTTGCTCAAGTTTTGTAAGCAATCTTCTGAATGTTTTTTACTTGTCTGCCAGTATTTTTTTAAGTGTTATTTAAGAATGAGGGGCTATAAAGCTTATTAGAAATTGTGTGGGAAATACTGATCGGCAGTTGAGTTTACAGTAGAGTGTTTGGCTGGGGTCCTGGCAACTTAACAACAAGATCACTAAATGTCAGTATAAATAGTTCTTTTATCTGGAGCTATTCATTGCTTCCCAAGACTAATCTCTAAATTGATTATGTCCAATTGAATGTCTTTCTGTTACCTGAAATTACTTTACAGTATTATTTCCTGATTTATAAAGCAGGAACCTTTTCCAATTGCAGTCTATTCAGCAGTATGTTATCTTCTATTTCCTGAGCTCAACACCTGGAGGTCACTTTTATTCATAACCTGTACATATCCTTTATATCCTGCAGATATTCTAATTCTTTCTGCTTGTTGCTGACTCAACATTTTGCTCATTATTTTACTTAATTTCTCATTTTACTCAGTTTCTGCTCTGGTTTGGAGTCTTACTACCTCATTCAAACTATCTTACTCATCAATGTAAGTGCAAACCTTCACCTGTCAAGTCTGTACTACAGATAGTGACTGAAAGAAATTATCCCCCAAACATCTCTTTAGATCATAATTCATCCAAATTTGGAAACACATCCTCCACAATCAAATTCTCTGTTTTGCTTTCAAGATTTCCCTTGCTAGTTCATCAATCTCTTGTAGTTTCCTTACTTCAGCTAAATATAATTTGTTTTCTGTGTTCAGCCAAAGCATGGCCATTATTGCTTCTTTCCTTTTTCCATATGTTTCTTCTCCCATGCAAATTATTCTCCCACACCTTTCAGGTCTGAAGATCTGGGTATCTACTCTCTTGTCAAAATACTGCTCGACTTGCATTGTCTCCAGGGATTTTCTCTTTGATAGCTGACTACCAAATTCCTTTACTTCCCATTTCTAACTAATTTTGTATCCTTATGTTTAGTGGGGTGGAAAATTCCTTTAATTACTCACTTCTGTACCATTTCTCTTACGTTGGCCTGGTGGCCCACCATGTGTACGTACATAAAGAGCGCTTAGTAAATGTTCTTCATAGCATACATTCAGTAATAGATACAATGAAACACATCAGAATAATGAGATTGTTAAGTTGTACACTGCTTTTTATGATATTTTATGTATTTTAAATTAATACTGTGAACATTCTGTTAACATTTTCATCTGTCTTTGTTATCGTTTCCCCATATAAACAGTAAGCTCCTTCACTGTGGAGAATTTCTCTGTATCCTTTTCCTTTTGTATTAACCCCCATTATACCATGTACATTATCTGGTTCTTAGCATATTAACAATTCCTTTTCAGCTCAGTGACTCTGTATGTCTCATTATCTAGATTTCTAAAAACTACATTTAAAATTTTGTATGAAACTTCAAGATAACTGTCACTTCTAAATTCTAGGAAAGAGATTAGAAGTTCCACAAAGTGCTATGCAGTAGTTACAAACTTTAATTTCCTAGAAATTGTATGCTATAGTGAAAGGTCTTAATTGGCATTCTGACTGGCATGGTATGTTTGTCAATCCCGTGTACATAAAGTGTGATGATGTATATGCCCTTTAGTGACTGAGGCTGCCGCCTACATATCCTGTCTCTGTTTACAACTCCTGGCATCCTAAATTATACTTATTGAGTAACCCACAGAGATAAAATACACATATTAGCACGGACCTAGTTTGCATTATAACATGTTAGAACTATGAGGAATTGTAGCGATTATGCCGTCCATGTCCTCATTTTGGACGTGAGGAAGCTCAGGCCCAACCTCATGTGGATGGATAGCTCAGAAGAAGCCAGTCTCTCAACTTCCCCACTGACCCTAGCCTGCAACCTCCCAGGATGCTGTATGTGAAATACCATTTTTTGCTCCACAAATATTAGAAGGCAGAGTTGTAAAATGCTCAGCAGGCTTTTCTGTGGACTTTTGGAAAGTAGTGTAAGAAATTCTGGTAGATTCGAAGCCAAGAATTGAGTTGCTTTGTTATTTAAAATATAAATATATTACAAGCATTTAATGATTGAAGAATGTTCTAAATTATGGTGACCAAGGAAAACAAATGAAAATTCTCTTTTGTTGGCATTAAATAACATGTTTGCTTTAGTAGAGATATATATTGCAGCTAATCTTTTAACAGCAAATTAAAATTTTCCTATTTATTTTCTAGCTATATGTGGTCATTTGAAAAAGCTCACCTCAGCATGGTGCAGATAATCACAGGACAACTTGTTGAGTCCTTTGACGAAGAATTTAGAACTCTCTATGCCAGATCCTGTGTCCCCAGTTCATTTGTCCAGGAAGAATCAGTGAGGGTGAAGCATGGCAAAACACTCTGGGAGAATGGCACCTACCAGCGTTCAGTTTCTTCATTAGCTTCTGTTTCCAGCCAAAGAAACCTTTTTGGTAGGCAAGACAAAATTCATAAACTAGAATCTGGTTACTTCAAAAACAGAGGGATATATACTGTCAATGAACATGAGAAATATAACATAAGAAATCACAGATACAAGCCTCATTTTATTCCAAACTTTAATGGCCCAAATGCAGTCCGTCAGTATCAACCCAGTCAGGTAAATGAAAATTGGAAGAGGCATAGCTATGCTGGGGAACAGCCAGAAACGACACCATACCTGCTGCTTAGCAGGACTCTGAATCGCAACGTGAATCCTCCCAGCAAATGGAAAAGGCCCTCAGATAGTGTCAGTGTGGCATCTTCCTCACAGGGAGGCTATGCAGGCTACCACAACACACCTGCTCAGAGTTTCGCTCATCGGCTTGCCCAGAGAAAAACAACAAATCTTGCAGAAAGGAATTCAAATGTGCGGAGGTCTTTTAATGGGACCGATAATCATATTCGCTTTTTGCAGCAACGAATGCCAACTCTTGAACATACCACAAAGTCATTCTTGCGTAACTGGAGAATTGAATCCTACTTAAATGATCATTCAGAAGCTGTACCCGATTCAAATGGATCATCTCTGGGAGACCGGTTCGAGGTCTATGATGGTTCTGAGAATGTGAAAGCCAATGCCGTTTATACTCATTCTCGGCTTCGTTCCTCTTTTGTGTTTAAACCAACTCTACCTGAGCAGCAGGAAGTTAACAGTTGTACGACTGGCTCTTCAAATTCAACTGTCATTGGTTCCCAGGGAAGTGACACACCTAAAAAGGCCCCAGACACCCCTACAAGTGCACAGCCATTGACAGACAGGCCCTCCCCAGAACCAATCCCCAAGCTCCCATCCCCGTCAGAGGCACCAAACTTGCACACCTTGCAGGTTCCTGAAAACCAACCAACAGCCTTAAATGAAACTACAAATGGCCAGGCAGAGTCAAACAGCTACTTATACGCCACCTTCTGTGGAAACAAGCAGACAGAAAATCTCAAGAATGAACAAAATGAGAGTTTGCTTAAAAGGCGAAGTTTCCCATTCTTTGACCACTCCAAAGCCAATTTAGATCATGGAAACAGTAAGCATTATGTATATAGTACCCTTACCAGGAATCGAGTTCGACAACCAGAAAAACCCAAAGAGGATTTGCTGAAAAGTTCTAAAAGCATGCACAATGTGACCCATAGTGTGGAAGAGCACGGGGAGGTTATAAAGAGAGACTCTCCCAGTGACACTACTACCAAGTCAATTTCCGTCGCTGCTTTGCTTGATATGAATAAAGAGGAACCTAACAAAGAACTCACTTCAAAGAAGGAAGTTAAGAGTTCCCCGAGTTTTTTGAAAAAGGGATCTCAGAAATTGAGGTCATTACTTAGCCTTACCCCAGAAAAGAAAGAAACTCTATCTAAAAATAAAACACCTGCCTTCTATAGAATGTGCAGTAGTTCTGACACATTAGTTTCTGAGACTGAAGACAATCAAAAACTTAAAATATCAGAACCAAAAGTTGATTCATCTCCTAGAAGAAAGCGTTCTTCCCCCTCAAACTCTCAAGGCAGCATCCACAGGAGTAAGGAAGATGTAACCGTTGGCTCATCTCAGGGGATGAGTTCTCCATCTGATGAGAGTAATAAAATAATACCTTCTCCAGGTCCAATTGAAAGCAGGTTCTTGGAAAGGGCAGGAGATGCCTCTGCCCCAAGATTTAACACAGAGCAGATCCAATACCAAGATTCAAAAGAGAGTAATGCAGCTGTTGCTCCAGAAAGGAAACAAGCAGCTTCTCCAAGGCTGAGGCCCAGTGAGCTACTAAGATCTCATTCAACTGATCGGCGTGTTTACAGTCGTTTTGAGCCATTTTGTAAGATCGAAAGCCCTATTCAGCCAACGAGCCACGTGCCAAACACTGGTATCCACCGCCCAGAAATAAAATCCACAACTTTGGGCAATAGTTATGGCAGGCCCAGCCCAATGCTGAATTACAACACTGGGGTTTATCACACCTACCAGCCAAATGAAAACAAGTTTCGAGGATTTATGCAGAAGTTTGGAAACTTCATCCACAAAAATAAATGAAACACTGTAATTACAAATAGATATTAAAATACAAAATGAATGTGGCTATAAATATTTGTCCAAAGAACACTGTGGTCAGTTCTTGTAACAGGCCAACCAATTTGTAGAGGGACAGAATTTGGGGTATGATATATATGTTTACCAACATACATACTTATGTACAGTAAGGTGGTTCTGTGTGATAAAGTTATACTTAATTGCACTATAGATGGAATGTCTCTATGTATATGATTTTTAAATGGTAATGGTAAAGAAAAGGTAATTAAGTTGTTTTCTTCAGACTGAAGATCTTAAGGCTTAACTAGAAACTTTAGTGCAGAGATAGTGTATGGATTTTAACCATTCATTGAAAGTCTTTCCTTTTTAAAAAGGATCATAGTACTATCAGGGCTTTTTATAATAGGTCTTTTTGGAGTTTTCATACTTTGAAATTATGAGAAAATAGGACAAAGCCTTTTTAGTCTTTAATTACCTTTAAGTTCTACAGGATAATGTTGTGTTTTTAGTAATGTTCTATTGATTTTCCTGCAGAGTCTATGCAACTAGTTGGGCAGCAGTTCAATTTAAATTATAGAACTCAACAGTCCTACAACCATCCAGGATGTGCTGCTTTCCACTCTGGACCAAGGGAGCCTTTACTCCACTCACCCATCAGCTGCTAATATTTTATAGTCATTCCTTCCTTCAAACTTATAGCAAGCCAGCAGGAATTGGAAAAACTTGAGTTATTCCTCTTCTCTTTCTAATGTAAGAAAGCTTTTAGAAATGTAAACTTCTGCAATTTTTTAAAACCTTGGATTAGTATGACAATGCTTATGTGTTTTGCTTGAAAAAAGTCTTTATTCTTTTATATCCTGTGCCACTAATGGTGTGACCTCACGGTGTTCTCATGAGTACGGCAATGAAAGTGAGAAATGGCACCTGCCTCGTTCTTCTAGGATCATGGGGTCTGGCTGAACGTTTTAAGTCTTTCTGTATCGTAATTCGATGACAATATTCAGATCATAAGATACTTTTGCTTTTCTTAGAGTGATGAAATAACGACTCCATATCCATTATAAAAACTTGGCTCTCCACGGAGGACAGAATTCAAGAAACAATTCATCATTTGAGAAGTGTGAAGTGTTTCTATGACACTTTGAATATATTATTTAATATCTCCTAAGTTGCTGACTGGGGCAGTATGTTGTTGTTTTAGAAATTTAAGATTTAGTCAAATATTAATATATATGTCATTAAATAATTAAAATAATAGCATTTTAATACCTTTACCTTGAAAATTCTTTTCCATAGTATTTATAAACATTAGGAAACATGACAGGAGAAAAACACAACAGTGGGGGTGGGGAGAAACACTCTATTTTTGAGCACTTACTGTAGACCAGGTCTTGAGCTAGAATCTAAACTCCCAGTAAATATATTTTTATGGGTACCATTGTCCCGATTATGTATAGATGATGAATCAGGTAATAAAGACACTTAGACTCAGAAAGGTCATGTCTCAAGTCACACAACTAATAAGTAATGGTACTAAAACATCTATAACATTCTGTCATATGACATTACCTCGCAATGTGGTAATAGCTGTATCACCCAAACTGTTGAGAATTGAGAAAATGTTTATATTTTTCTGACTCAATAATCAACCGAAAAGGTTGAGTTGAATTCTTCCAGGTAACAAAGATGTACAGGGTTTTAAATAATCATAGTAGATGAGATGAGGGATTGAAATTGAGATTAATTTCTGAATGTTACCAAGCAGGCCAGTTTTAATTGCCAGGCAGCCATTTCCATCTCCTTCTGGATAAAGAGAAATGAATTAGGCATTACTAAAATATAGCAAATTTTCCTGTAGAACTTAAAGGTAATTAAAAACCAAAAAGGCTTTGTCCTATTTAGTCATAATTTAAAGCTATGAAAACGCAGTAAAGACCTTTTATAAAGGGTCCTGATAATACTAGGATCCTTTTTAAAAGGAAAGACTTTGAATGAATGGTTGAAACCGTTCTAGAGAAGGCCAGCCAGGTACCACTTCTCACTGTCATCTCCGTGCTCATGAACACATGCAGTCACACCACCTGTGGCACAAGGAAAGGAGCAAAGACTTTATGTGACTTAACAATGAGGGAACCATGAGTGAGTTGTAACCTGCTTTTGTGCTATGGAAAGAAGTCTGTTAGGTTAGGAAGCCAGGAGGGTTGGAACCCAGTGTTAAATGTATACTTCATTAAATATTCCCAGTAACAACCCTGGAAAGTACCTCCTTTTTTGCAAATGAGAAAACAGCCTCAGAGAAGTTATATAACTCTCTAGGAGTTACACAGCTCCTAACTGGTGCAACTGGGGTTTGAACACAAAAGCTTTATTTGTAATACTATATATACCATATTCTACCTTAATGGCTTGTATGCTCCACTATGTTTGAGGAACCTTCTTTGAAAATAGCCATCTCTCTCTTTTGCTCTCTCTTCACAAACTGCAGAACATTACTAGTAACTGTACAGTGATAGCATTTTATGAACAGAAATCCAGAATATAATACTCAGTGTTACATCATTCATAAAGAGATGTTTTAAAATCGTCTAAAACAGAATTCCCAAATACTACAACATGAGATAATAGGGCTTTAGAAAGCTGAGTGTAACAGATTAGAAATTTTAAACACTTCCTAATAAATTAATAGCATAAAAATAAAACTTTGAGAAGTCAGTCATTTTTCACTGGAAAGAAAGCCATGTCTATTTACCAAAAAGCTGAATTAAAAAAAAATAACTTTTGAAATGTGTATTTCCTTATCATCAGATATGGAATTCAGTTGCAGTAAGAAGAATGTTTCTGTTACTGGATTTATTTTTTAAGTCATCTGGAAAAAATGGTATGATCTTTGTAAATTTGTATCAGATTATTAAAAAGCACTGAATTGCGGTCCAGTGCATGAAAGAAATTTTTCATTTTGTTCTTAGAAAAATTCACCTCTGTAATTATGGACCTTAGTCCTTTACTCACTTTTCAAGGGTAGAACCCACAGTAACCAAGCCAGGCTGACTAATATACTAATATTACCCACTCTTTGTTAGTATTAGAAGGGGCATCTTTCAGAGCTGCAGAGATAGGGGCTGGTTGTCACTAGGCAGCTCTGAGAAATGGCAAGTCCTGAAATTTAGAGCAATGCCATTCTAAAGCTGAAATGACATAAAGACTAAAGTTTCAATCATGTTTAATTATAAGCAAAGCCTGTTGCCTTTTTGTACAGCCACTGCCACCATTTCTGGAAACACATAGCTTTGAAACAGCTCCGAGTTCCTCCTCTCCGTAGTAGAATTGGGAGTGCAGGATCTTCTGTTCATCCTCTCGTGATAAGTAGCTTAGGCTTTTGCACAGCAGATTTATTCTCCTCTGCCTTTTTTCTTTGATTATTTTCCTTCTATTTTTTTTTTCTTCAGAAATATCTCTAGGTCAGAATGTATACATGGTAACTTTCCAAAGTTTCTGTGACTGAGAAATTCCTCAGAGTTAAAACTGAACCAGCGCATAATACTGCAAATCATTTATTCAAGAGTTTGTTTCAACAGACATTCCCAAGCTTCACGAATGTAATCATTTGAAGTACTGTACTTTCTTTTTCTTCCCGTATTAATATTGGTGGAAAGGTAATGCCAGATACCCTTTCCTATTAAATTTAAGTAAGGCAGTGTTTACTCTCTACATTCATTTGTAAGTAGAAACTCAAGAAAACAGGTACAGTTCCAAAGCAGCTCTTGATAGTTTCAGAAGGGTTTAAGTGCCTGTATCCTGAACCTGCTGATATCCTTCTATTATAACGACCGGGATTAGCCACAGCCCTGATGTGGTACATTGATTTATGGGTATATATTGGCAGTCTGCTTTTGTGGAAACGTGTCTTGCTTAATCAAGGTGACACCCAGTGTGCTCCAGATAAGCAAGAAAGTTGAACTCTGGCTGCATTAAACCTAAACTTCACTCAAGATCACCCAGTTATACTATTATTACACAGATACTTGTCTTTTGTGAATATCTGTTAATTCTTATTGTGCCTATGTTTAAGGAATATAAAGTCAAATCATTGTTTCATGTTACTGATGTGTGATGTTCTCAAAAATGTTTATCATAATATACAGTTTGGTTCTAGAATATTTAAAACAAAAAAAGATGAAATTATAAACCATAGAATGAATTTTTTATATACATACAATGTTCACAAAGAAGTATTCTTCCAAATTAACTTGTTTTTAGATCTAATAAATGAATATTAAATAATTTTGTACAAACATCAATATATTGTAAGTTCTTTATTTGCTTCTTCATACCCTGGATTTACTCATTTAAGCTTATGCTTTTACCTTAATTATTATATCATAATTTACATCTATGTATTTTAAAATATTTCTCCATGTATTTCGAAATCATATCTTAAACGCTTTTAGTTTTATTTTGGTTAGCAATTATATTCCATATGATAATTTATCCACCTTTGATATCCAGTGATAATACTCTTCCCTAAACAACATATACCCTTACTTTCTTTATTTCTATTTCTACTGGAGTATAGTAGTTGTTTTTAAAGAACTCGTGACTTTGAAAAGTAGAGAATCTATTTCATTTTTTAAAAGTACCTGACTTTTGTATAATTTTGGATCATTTAGTTTGTGCAAAATATTCTTAAGCTGCGTTTATATTAGATCAGTTAGATACATTAAATAGCCTAGAGTTGAAAGTTGTTTAAAACTCGAAATACATTTTCTTTGGAAAAAACATGTCCCTTATATCAGAGTAAGATACAGTTGAAATACTGTATATTGAGAATTAAAGGCAATTGTGATTTTTAAGTAAGTATAATTTAAAGTAGTTAAGTAAAACTAAATTTTGATTTTTTTTTTCCCATTTACCACAGTGGTTACGAAAAACCTGGTTCAATGGGATAGTAAAGGAAATACAAAAGGCTTTACTTCCGTGGCCATCCTACAGGAAACACGAATAGGCTCAGTTGATTTACAGAGTCAAAGACTATCCTGAGGTAACTGGACTAGATTAAGATGGAAGGGCATTAAAAGCCATAATTGTATATCCTCCCTGGGGAAAAGAATCACCGAGCAGAAGAAATAGTAGCAAGAAACATACAGAAGAACACTCTTCAAGAAAACTATAATATGTCAAATTGGACATTTCTCCCCTAATGTTTCAACAATCTAGCTCATTTATTTAATACGCATACTGGGAAACTACTTTCTTCCAAGTATGTAGATTATTGTAGATTTTGGAAAGAAAAAAGAGAATGTCTAATCAGAAGCTGCAGCAAGTTTTCATGAGTATTTCAAGAGTAGCCCAAACAGCTAAAATTTGTATGCTACTCAAAGTCCACTTGTCTGAACTTGTGCTTTGAGGTACTCCTAGTGCCTAGCAAAGAGTTCACATTTCACAAAGAGATGTCTGATAAATATTTTAGATGTCAATCCAGTCATTCCCTTAACTGTATAGTTAGTTGTATGTATATTCCATCAATATCCATACATTAAATTATGTGTTTCATAACTATGAGAATCATTTGTATTAAAAGGCATGGATGGGTCCTAGTTTAAATGTCAGCCGCACCTACCCTAGCATCCGGGTATCCAGGGATTCAGCAGGATCCATCTTCCAAGGTATATTTTTTTGAAGGACAGAAAACCCCTGATGAAGAATTCATCCTGAAAGGAAAGGGAGTAGAGCTGTTCAATTTCAGTTCAAGGGCAATTAGCACACAAGGGAAAGAAGCTGTGACTTCGTGCTCTTCATTCAGATTGCAGAAAAATGTGTGGACTATGGATAGAACTGCAACGGAAGCACGGCTCATGGGTGATCCATACACAGAGTCGGGCATAAGTAGCTGCTGCCACACACACGCTCACCGTGGACATCTGCACAGCCTCCCGTTTTCAACAGCCAGTGTTGAAAGGTTTACAGCAACCGCTGCGGACCCTGCTGGGCCCCGATTAAGCACATTACCACACTTTTGGTGTAGGTAATGATAGGCACTGTGACCACAGTGGGCCACGGCAGGCAAGAAGAGCTGCCATGGGACAGCCAAGAGGGTAAACCCTCCAGGGACATCTAGAGCATCATGGTAGGAAATCAGGGGGCGCTGAAATGCCGCTAGAACAGATTTGGGTGAGAACTTATTTATAGTGGAATTTTCCGTTCCTCTATTCTTACTGTTACAGGATGGATGGCCTAGGAAATGTGTCACATCTGTAATAAATACACAACAAAATAGAAGATGTTTGTAACAAAATTCACAAAATGAATTTGACCAAAAGATCTCCACTATTTTGCTTTCTTTAGAAAGAGGTAAGTGGTGGGATAAACAACCCCCAAAATAAAACAAAAGTAAGAATATTTAATGAGGGATTTATTTCAGAAAACAACTTTCAGGGCATATCTTGTGGTGGAACATTTTGTCTCTAAATTTCTTTTTCTAGCTGTAGGAATAAAGATTTTTATCAATCTTTATATGTCTCAATCTATCAGGCAGATTTGATTAAATATAATAGACTTCCTTTTTCAAAGAAAGATCTTTGTGTGTTTGTGTGTATTTTTGGTTTGTTTGTCTTACAAATTACCAAAGTCATTGTAGTTAACCGTTGAGATGACTAAGTTAGATGTTCATTAAAATAATCATTCTAACTAATGAGGATCTACCATAAAGCTCAGAATTAAATGTGTTTCTGTAAGTGGGGAGTGTAAAATACTTGAAGTTTGATTTCTTATTTTTCTCCCCCAAGCGCAGTATAATATTACTTGCTTAAAGCCAGAAGAAAATTCTGCTACATATTTTGCTAATTCAAGTACAAAGAAATACAGAGCTTTGCAAAGCATTTTTTAAAGTGTGTTTTATGTGATTCGAAATTAATAATGTTTATACCAAGTGCTTTCACAGTGCTTGGCA